GGGTAGATGGAGGTGCTTACCTTCCAGGATATTTTTGAATATATCAGGAAAATCAGAGCCCCATTCATCATATCTGTCCCCTCCCCACATCCACCCTTTGACTGAGAAGACTTCATCCGTACTGCTCCTGCCTGGGAGATGCCAAGGGCAGCATCTGAGAAAAGGTTTGTTAGGATGGGGCAGGTTTAATAGCTGATGACAAACAGAAGGTGTGCATGGAGATTTGATAAATTATCCATGGTTCGTCATCTTCAGGGATACTCTTAAAAAGCTAATATCCCCTTTTAGGGTAATACACCCCCAAAAGGGAGAGAAAATACCTGCTAGAAATGACTGTACAGGGGGTGGAGCAAGAAGAGGGAGCCACACTTTAACAGATTACTGAGGAACTGCCGAAGACGTCACTGTTAGCTGAACGCTGCTACCCATTTATTCACATTTGTCCTCCATATCATCTTATGCAACCCAGACTCTGAACTGCAGGTATAGTCAAGAGTGAAGATAAGAAGATAAGAAAGATAAGAGTGAAGATAAGAACTATGGTTCAAGCACAGACCCATCCCAGAGCCTGTCCCTCACTAACCTGGATTATCTTAACAAGATTTTAGACGCGGCTGCGATCTTTGCTATTCAAATGCTGGTGACATAATGCTTGAAATTAGGGGATGGGGAACTAGGTAACATCACTCCCCAGAAAAATTATTCAAAACTTGGAAATACACAAAATATATTAACGGTTATTTATTCAGTATAGGGGGGGAGTTTGAATTGCTATCAACATGGGTACTTTATACTTCTGTAGGTACATAGGTTAATTTGTCAATCTGTAGCCAGTCGATTCAAATAATATCTATCCAATGGAATTGATTGTCTCAATGTTTATGGTTTATTACACTGTAAGAAATTAAACTAGTTTTGTATCTAGCCCTCTGATTTATCCCAATATTTATTTATTTATTCATTTATTATTTATTATATTACTAGTATCTCAAAGGGTCTTTAGACTAGTTGAATATTTTACTTGTGCCCTCAATAGTTAATAAGTTGAATACAATCCTTGACTTGTTCATATCTTACCCCTGAGAGTAAGATTTTTAACTATTCCAAAATTATAGTTTAACACTCATAATTTTCATTAGCTCTCAAACACCATCCTATGTTCTAGTGAACTTACCTAATGGGACTTAGGTCACTAGTAAATCATCTCTTGCATTTACTTTAAACACTGAAACATGGTACCAATTGTTTGTCTTTCCTGTTTTCTATAACCCCTTCACCTCTACCATCCAAGTCATTATTATGATCAATTCTTGTTTTTTCATTGCTCCCAATCCATGCTGACATTCTTGATTTTGTAACAAGTTATTTGTCCTAGTTAGCTTTGCCTAAACTACTTAATTAAACAGTAGACAATTAGGAAAAATACAGAGGGTGACAAAAAATGTATGCACATTTTAAGAAAGAAAAAACGGTATTAAAATTACACTGATGGTAACCACTTTGGGCACCTCTCATAATTGCAGAAGTCAAAAGTGACTTTTGTTCATCTTTTGTTATCAGTATATGTTGAGTATTATCATTTTAATACAGTTTTTTCCTTGCTTAAAATGTGTATACATTTTTTTGGCACCCTCTGTATTTAATAGGTCAAATTTTGTTTTCTCTATCCTGATCACTCTGAAAGTAGATATGTAAGTCAAAATATATGAGACTTTACATTGATGATACACTGAGTTCAACAGAGAGAAAAATATTCTGAATGTCTTAATGAAGGGTTGAATTAAATGATGAAACAATGGCACCCAAAAGCAATAACATCATTAAAGGTTATGCTAAAAAAAAAAAAATCTTAAAAAAGACTGAAGTAGAACAGTAGTAGAAAACAGTTTTTGCAAACAACTATTGTTCTGCTTTTTACTACGATGCTTAAAATATGACACTTTCTCAGTGACAGTCGGCATATTTCTGAACATTCACAGACATGATTTCTTCTTAAAGAAATCATTTCTTCTAGTTAGTGTCCAATTTTTCTTCATTATCTGTAACTTCATTAAAGGAGAAACCATAATAAAAGCAAAATGAAACATTTCCAAAGATTATTATATATGATTAAAATATTCTACAATTTGTTATTATTTCTCAATTATCCTTTCATGCAACCTCATTATTATTCTTAGCCATTTTATTCTAAAAGATGGGTGAAAATACTGACATTAGAAGAAATTAAGTAAATGAAATGAGAAAAATCGGTAAGGTTGCATTATAGTTTAAGAATGCCATTTTTTCTGCTTGCTGACTGAATATCAGTGTTAGCTAATATAATTTAGAAAATTGTTAATATTCTCTCTACACTGTCACTGGTAAATAATAGAGAATATAGTAAAAATGGGGAGGAAAATATAAATGACACAAATTTATGTTCCTAGTGAGAGTTCCCATAATATGGTATTTAATTTGAATTAAAAAGTAAAATCCTGTTCACCTGAAATGCCACATTTTTTTTTGTAAAAACTTCTGATAAACACTAAAAATTAAGTTAGCCATTCAGTTCCTATTCATGTTCCAATGGGTCATCCCTCAAGTTTAAATTCATGAATAGTAAGTTTTTCTTCAAAAGAAAATTAGTTTGTGACATATCACCATTGATTTAGACACCTTTAAATACTAACTAGTATAAGCTAAAAATTTTTAAAAATTGAGGTCAGATTTGGCCCAAGGTCACACTAATATATCCGCTTATCTTCTACTAGTGACATTTGCTGAATATTACCCTGGGCTACATTTTTAATATTCCCTCTGGCATGCTGAGATTAGATGTGACATTTCTTGGCCAGAATAAAACACAAGGTCGATTCTAAAGAGTATAATACTATATTTTTCCATGCAATTTTTATTTGCTTATCTATAGTACACAGGCAGTTCATTTTAAAAGCATGGGACTTATGAACCACAAGTAGCACATGCTAAATCCTTCTTAAGGGATGCCTCCCATTGTCCCAGCCTATATGACCACCTCCTGAGCCCTCAGCAAAATCCCTGAGAAATAACCACAGTGGAAGTCAGAATTCTCCAGCTCCTACTGTAAGAGGTTGAGGGAGTTTATCCTCCCGCTGCCTGGGGAGCGTCATAGTTTCATCAAGGAGAAAGTTTCCCATTGAGATAATGGTATAAAGGATGACTGGCATATGTAAACCCACAAGAACTATTATTCAACTCTATTATAAATTAAATAAGATTGTAGAGCAGGAAACAAAGTATCAACTATTTATAAAAAATACTTAGGAAAAACAACTCATGGGTAAGTTTGTAATAGGGAGAACAATTTTGAAATGTCATGAATTATGCTCAGTGTTTTATTGTTCTTCTTCAAACCTTTAAAGAAAAAAAGTAGTAGTAATAATAATAATAATAATAATAATAATAATAATAACAACAACAACAACAACCCACCTTTGGCCTGAGAACCAGCTTTGCTCTCATAATCACCCTGTTACATCCAGTTACCCTGATTAGTCAATTACTAAATGAAAACATGAAAATGTACTTGAATTTTGCTCTCTGAAGGAAATGCAAGGCTTGTAAAATTGAAGCATTTTTCTCAACCAAGCATGGATACTTGTTCCAATTAAGTCAAAAATCTTAAAAACCATTAATAATCTCCAATACAAGGAAAACTGTCAACTTGAAAATGAAAATAGTTACAATTACTTTTCTTGGTATATGACTATTGGTTCTGAGCTACATGACACAATAAAATATACTACATATGCAGTTCCATGTTTGTTGTATTTTCAACTTAGTCTTATCTAAAAAGGCACACCTGGAGGTGGGTTTAGGATCCTCCTGATGACAGGATTGTATTTATCAGTAATAAAGGTGACCTGAACATTTGAAAAGAATGCCCTTGCTCCTTGATTTAAATATTACCTACAAACAATAAACACTATTAGGAGAAACTCAACAAAAGGTCAGCGAGTACACGTTCCCTTCTGTACGCAGCTTTCTGTCTGTGTATCTAGGAAATGATACTATACGTTGAAGGAGCCTGAGCTATGCTACTTCAACTCTATTAAATAAAGGGGCTGTCGATATTTGGGTTGGAGCTACAGAGCATTTAGAGCTCTTTATATCTGTAAGGAGTGCAATGAGCCATCCAAGCTAACTCAGCAGAGAGAACATTTACTAACAAAATGATTGTAGAGACCCATTGACTTGATGGATGTCTGGGATTGTGTAGAAGAAAGGAGCCCATGATGGAAATGGTAACAGATTTGAAAGCCTTTAACAGGCTCCTTTTATCCATCCTAGCATGCTTTATTAGCATGACACAAGTTCCCTGTTTTCTCTCTCTCTCTCTTTAATGATATTGTTCTATGAACCAATGAATGTTTTCATTTGGAAAATAAGAAGGCATTGACATATTATCTGAACTGTGGTTTCTTTAGTGATGCCAAGGGAATAAATATGCTAATTCTGTGCTTTGAGGAATGTACTGGGTAAGGGCCATTACTTCTTTTATTTCACTGGATACCAGACCCAGGTGAGAAAAGGTTAACAGTTATATACCTTGGAATATGTCATAATGCAAAAGTTCTGACTTAGAAAATGGAGAATTTCAGGGATACTCTGATATACTTTTAGATGATGATTTTCATATTACAGTCTCCAAAGTAAAGTTTAACTCATCATTTGTTAATTATGATACCTGAAGCTATTCACCTCAAGCCATTGCTTGATTCTTCGTAAAAGAAGCAACTACTATGAAAAAGCTACCACATAAATCTTGAAGTAGTCACAAAATCTTACACAAATAATTCTTTTTCATATAGGAATAAAAGACAGTCTTCTTCATATACACGTGAATGTACAAAAACACATTTCCTCAAGGAAATCCGATTTCCTTGGAACACTAGGACTTTTTGAGCCAGAGGTAACGAAACAGCAGAAGCGCCAACTGGAAACTTTTTGCTGGCTTTTAAAACTGGAACGAAACAACGCTCAACATTTGCAAAACATTCCTTTATTATTAGAAATAAATTATTTGTATAAAAATCGCATGCGTCAACCATTGCATTTATTTTTAGCACAACCCAGGGCTTCAATCCGGTCAGCCATTACAAGAAACAGATTCATTGTCTTATACAAGTTGAACAATGTGGGACAGGAACGGGAATTCTCACAATCACAGAAAAATACTTACAAGAATAACATCAGACATGGTTTATTTCAACAGCATTTTTTTTTCACAAACTAACATTAGTTTTCCTTTTGTGATTTTTAAAATTTTTTAACTGCTCATGAGTAAGCAATACTTTAGCTTGACACTCATTGGTTGTATTGTATAAAATGGGTTTCTTCACTCTGTTATTGATACTTTTGGCTCATGGCTACTTTTTTCTTCCTTATAAGATTGACTATTGATTGGGTTGAGTGTAGTCTACAGAGGTCTTCAGGAGTGCGTTTTGGTGGTGTCGTGTCCATTGTTTAAGATCACATACAAATTTCTTCATGTTGTCTCATTTCCCTGTTTCAGATTGAATGATTGCTATAGCTGATATATGTTGTCTTGGTAGAGGAAGCTGTTAAGATAAATTAAGACACATTAATAGTATATAATAACAAATTATTTGGTTAAAGTCATTTTAAAACTCAAATTCCATATGACTTTTTTCTTCACTTTTTATTATATTACTTATTATTTTTTAAACCATGTAGTAGGAATTAAATGATTGTGGGACAAAAAATGCAGCAGCAATTTTAATCTGGAAAACCACTAGTCTCATTTTATAGTATAGGCATTTAGCAGAAAACTAAAAATGTAAAAGTTCTAATCTTTAATAAATTTAAGTCACATTTAATTTTTTTTTCATGCAGGAGTTGAACTGGCAACCTTGCTGTTAAGAGCACATGCTCTATCCACTGAGCCATCCGGGCGGCAGCTTGGCTCAAGGTGCCAAGTTCAGTCTTAGTTGCAGGCAGGCATAGCCCACCATCCCACCATCGAACAGGCAGTCTTGTCATTAAGAGCACGTGCTTTCACCAGCTGAGCCATACTGTCACCTGTTGGCTGCTCAGCAGCAGCTCAGCTCGGGTAGAGCATCACTGGCCATGTGGGATTGAACTGGTGGTCCTGTTGCTCAGAGCTCATGCTCTTAAGCAAACTCTTAACCAACTGGGCCACTCGGCCGGCCCCAGGTCACATTTAATTTAAATGTGTATTTTGATTAACAAAGATTGCAATATGCAAAATGAGAAAGAACATAAATACTTTCTGCAGAATACAAAATAATACTTTTTACAACCTCAGTTAAAGACCTTAAAATCTTTGAGTCTGGCTTGATGACCAAAAGAGGGTCAGTAATTATAATTACTTTGAGGATGAATATATCTTTCATTGAAAAATACTTTTAGACTCTAAATGGAAACATAGTAAAATATCAAGTTCATAAAATATTTGTAAATATGAAAGTAAGTATTTGTCCCGCCAATATGTATGCACTGTCTGCTTTCATCCAAAGGATACAAATGCAGGTGTTTAAAAAATAAAGACTCAAAAAAGGAAATGAATATTTAATTGTTTTAGTAACCGACTTACCATGAAGTAAAACCCATGATTGTAAGATTAGAAAGATATGAATAACAGAATATTCTAAGTCAAATTTATACTCATGCATAAATTTCCAGAGATTCTAAATCTAAATAATTCCTTTGGATTTTTTCAAAGATGTGATGGAATAAATCTCAGTTCTAAAATTCAAATGTGATATCCTAATTTTCAGTGGATTTCTGGAATGAATAATCATAAAAAATACATGAAAACAATGAAAAACATGTATGTATTTCACTACATAAATCCAATTTAGAATGAAACAGACTTTTAGAGAACGGTTTGGTTTTTGAATATAAATGAGGAAATTCTAAAATTCTTCTTTGGAAATAATTGGCAATCAGGCTCATTCCATTTTAGTGTACCTCACCACTGGTGATTGACCAGACCAGTTCTTACCAGAGTTCAAGTTCATGCAAAGCTCACAGTCACTAAAATTAATGTAGACAGCTCAAGGGAGTACTAATTGTAGCTGTTTTTGCTATTTTTTATTTCATTGACTATTATGAGCTTCATGCCCAAAATGGGTGACATATCTGCTTGTTTTACCTACATTGCTCAAGCTTCTTTTAGGTTATTTTTGTGGCATGGTGGAAAGGAAGTAGATTTTAGACCTAGTTTTAAATTATATTCTGTTTCCTACGAAACTAGTGAGAAAAGTTCACTGAACCAGGTGACTGGTCCTCAGTTTCATCACTGGTCCAAAATCCACAATGTTGGGTTTTGAGAGTATGAAGGCAGTGTAGATTTGAGGGGCCTGTTGTCTGAGAGAATCAATATGGAATCCGACTTTTCCGCTTTCCCCATCCAAAAGGTAGGATGTATGTTACATTTGGTTTGGTGTGAAGTGAAACACAATGGTTTTTATGCTCATTTATTTTTATTATTTTATTTTTTATTTCTAATTTACATAATGCTCTCATATGCCTCTCAATTTCCTCAAAGAAAATAAAATCTGTACTTCAATTATGTTTTTGAAGGAATTCCATGTAATCTTCAGGCACAAGGTAGAGAAAAATGGTCATAAGAGTTAGAAAATGACCCTTAAAGAGGTTGTTAAATTTTATGCCTTATTCAACATATCCGACAATAACTAAAAATGTAGAAAATATCATTGACATTTGTGGATTGCTAGAAAGAAAAATTATGGTTGACACAGAAGAACAAGAGCCAAAAGACTTTGAAGAAGATGATATGCAGATGTTAATTCAACAGAAAGTGATTTGGATCAGATCATCTTCAAGGATCATTCCAACTTTAAGACCACAGCTAATTAAAGATTCATACTTCATTTTCTGAACTCTTAGAAGTGATCTCCAGGGCGGGAAAGACAGTAGAATTATACTAAAAATCAAGACTATAATTTATGAAAGGAGAGCAATCTTAATTTTTCTAATGTTTAGAAAAGAGAGTGCAAAGCTCTGGAAACTGATGACTATAGTCAACAGGAATATGTGGTAAGGGACAAATCTTGGGAATGGCAGAGATTTTGCAAGTCTCTTTACCCCAGAAGTATTACAGAGCAAAATGGATCAGAAAGGTACATCTGAGCTAACAGGGAGAGTTTTCACAGTGGTAATGAATATGCTTATGTGACAATCAGTTTTTGAATACAGCAACAATGAATTTCCTGTGCACACCACACTGTGTTCATAGCCAGAGAAAGCAGAGCTCCCTCCAGCAGCAGCTGTTCTCATGGATTATTCATGAATATAGCTTAAGGAATACCATGTTACAGCCTTTGTTAATTGGGTACAGTTGATAAAATTCATATATATCAACTTTGGTTCTAACTCCCTTCCCACACTTTGATGAAAGAACACTTGACCTTTTTTCTGTTTGAAATGTAGTAATCTGCAAATTCAGTAATTAACATGGACTCCTCAGTCTTCCTTCCAGCTTCACATCACTTATATTTATTCTGTGTAGCTTTTGAAGCTTTAAAACCTTAAATATGTGACCAGAATTTCTGGTATCAATAAGTCATCCTTAAGAGTAAGTTTCTAAATATGACCTATAGAACTGCACCATGGCCATGAAAGGAAAACATGGCATATATATCATAAATACACAGCAAATTGGTCAGAAAAAATCTCCACGATGGAACAGTCACCATAATTATAAAAATCCTCCACATACTAAAAAAAAGAAAGAAGGGTGCTAAAACAATGATTTCTAAATTTTATTTATTCTCTTTTCTATAAACCACAGACCAATCTATAGTTTCATGGCAGCAATGATCGTTTTACCTGCCTACGGTGATTTATAGTTTATAAAACACTTTCATGTGTGTCATTGTCACTTCGTTGTAGTAATGGTGATTTACCAAATGTCTGGGAGCAGAAAATATGGGAATGCAGCAGCATGGATACTGTTCCAGGGCGTGAATCAGCCCTTGACTTATTGAGAATAGGCTCCACCTACTTCCACAGGAGGTGTTTTAAATCTCAGGAGGCATGGTACTAGTTACAATGGAATGGCAAAGGCATCTCCAATATTCAATTACACTTCTAGAGAGATAAGACACATTTTTAGAAGACAAATATTGCATTTGTTATTCAAATTATTGATATGTTTAGAGCGTTTGTGATTTTAGAAGACTTCTGACTCTATGAAAACCACCGGTACATGTAGCAAAGGTAATAGGGGCATAAGGAATCCATGATACCCAGTCGTGTACGTGAATAAAGGTTAACAATGGTAACCTGGAGTGAGATTTTGGAAGGATGTGTGAAGATTTCATGCACTGTCTCTCCTGAATGTGTACACTATAATCACTTTATCTGGGCTTGATTTAGTCAAATCCAAACTACTCCTGTAAAAGATGAACACACTAAAATCTCCAAAGTACAACTTAACCTTCTTTCAGGTAGTAATTAACCTGATGATGAGTTACTGTTTTAATTTCCTATATATTCCAAAAACAAGCATCTGACTCCTCTAGAATATTGTATGCTTGTCTTCCATACAGGCCCCATACTTGTAATCTTTCATTCTTATTTCAGAGAAAATGTGGGACATGAACACATGCTACATAATTTCCATTTCATCATACACATAAAACAACAGAAGGAAAACAGAAGATGTAAGAGACATTTCTATAATAAGGGATTAGTCTCTATCAACACTGGAAATTTTCCTCTTCGGGGAAGCTATTTAGTTTTTAAAGGAGTGGGAAAAGTTTATTAATTTTTTTCTTACCACAGTGCAGCTGTGAGTCTGGGGTGACTGGTATTTATTTGACTGTATATTTGGCTGTTTCCACTTGCAACCATCTTATATAACGTTTTCTGGATGGCAGCTAAAAAACAAGTACAACTATGGACTCTGCTGCATCATACTGAGAAGCACCTGTGTTCAAAGTGTATCGTTGGCTAACAGCAGTTTATTGGCATCTTACGATGGTTTTAGCTTCCTGCACTGATGCTTTCAAGGCAGAAAAACACAGATAAAAGTCCTCCCTCAAATCACAAGCATTCTGCATGGATGACTTTGAAAGTAGTTATAGTACATCTTTTGCTAACAGACCAAAATGGCCCATTATTAGTAAATTGCTTACCTGTAATCCAAGATGATTATAATAATTATGACCAAACCCCATCCTTATTGTGCCTTCTCTTGCAGTTTCTCAAGGTTTCATGCTTGCAGAAAAGTGGCTAAGTGTTTGTGGACTTTTTAAAAGACTTCTTCTCTACAAGTAGCTAAATTTGATATTAGTGAGCTGAAAGTAATCTTCCTAGAGGATCCGGCCAATAATTTTGAGAAGTCTGACAGTAATTGAAGCCAATAAGTGTAATGTATCAATATTTATCTTCTAAGGGATATTTCTGCATATGGGGCACTGGAATAGACAATGTTCATCTAGAAATCTTGATACAAGGCAAGGTTTGTGAATCTAGTGAAAACTATAAGTTGCTATGATAATTCAATCAGATGAGATCAACTTTTAATCTTTGTATTTTGTGTCAAAACAGAGAGTAGGGGATCCAACCTGTTGGAACTAGTAATGTAAGTTTCACTTATTTTATTTTAGTATTGTTTTTTTCACTATACTTAGCTTTCTGGTATTTTGCAATACAAATTTTCAATCTACTTGCTGTCCTGCCATAGATACCAAGATGGACTGAACAGATCAGTTAAACGCTACTGGATTAGCTTAGTACCAGTGTATTGTTATCACATGCTTCTTCAGGGGTGAACTATAGAGAAGAGGAAGACAGGCGAGGAAATGAAAAGTGGAGTGGTGGTTGTAGAAAGGACTCTATTTTCAGGGTCATGAGGCTTTCAGAGAAGAGCTCTAATTATCTTATTCTATTCAAGAAGGGAAGCCAGGGGAGGCCAAAGAAGGGGACCACTTGGGGGAAACAAATATAAACTATGTCTTAACCTCACATTGTCGTTTAACCAATTTTCTCATTTCCCTAATTATCCCAGTCACATGTCATTAATTTGTGTAAGATCTTAGGTAGTATGTTCCATAAATATTAGTTAATTATTAATTCTATAAAGAGCAACCAATATTGAACTAACAAAGAGTAAAGAATAGTTCCTGATCCCCAAAAGATCATTTCATACATGGAAGAGGTTTCTAAGCTTCAAGCTCTGTAATGCCTCAGAAGAGACCTTGAGGGTCACACTTTGTAAAAGAGATTTCACCTCCATGTTTGTGCTCTGGAGAAGAGCCACATGCCTTGAAATCCTTTGGTTCTAACCAACTGGTTCTAACTGCCATGATGATCTCATGGTATGCAGGTACCATCACGCCCCGGAACCATGTAGCACTGTCCCCAAGACTAGTAGAAGAATGTTCAACGTACATCTATTAGGAAGTGCTCACGCTCTTGACCATCGGAAAGTCTACAGATGACTTACTGTTGGTTTCAAGACTCTCACAGAGTTCACTTTTCACCTCGCCATTTGGTCTGTCATTTCCTTTTTGGATCAGTTTGCTTTGCATGGTGGCCGCTGTCACCACAGCCTTGAAGCTCCTCTTGCGTTTTTGAACGTTCTGCTCTGGATGAAAAATTATAATATAAACCTTGGGCATATAGAGCATGCCCAGAGACACCGAAGCACTTAAACTCATGGAGACAGTAAGTGTTGTTGTCTGGATATACATCTGAAGGGAGGAAAAAAGAGAAAAGAATCAGTCTTGATAAACCTGATCTAAGATAAAGCAAATAACAACCGCCGTCTGTCATCACTCCAGCTTCTCTGCTGAAGAGCTTTATGTCCACCTGCAAATGTGGGTGAGGTTGTACTGTTTATAAATCCCAGTTCCTTAAAACAGACAACATATGTATGGTTCCCATTAACATCTGTCCATGCTAATAATACCTCTGAAAAGTTGTCAAATTGTATCTGGAAATTCCAGGACCCAAACTAATTGTTCTTTTTAATAAAGGATCTGAAAACATTCACCTCCAAGGGTAAATACCTGAACCAGCCTGAGGGTTGTCTTTTCCTAGGGGAGACAGTTTATCTGAATAGATGGCAAAGTTTTGAGGTAAAGAGCTGTCCAAAGCATGAGGAGAATTTCACAAATGAAGAGACTGTTCCTATCTGTGAAATCGTATCAAGTAGATTACTGAGTTTACTGCTTAATTCATCTACCACTGAGGCTGTCCTTCTGCATAAAACCCCACTCTGAGAATGGGAATACACTTAGGAAGGTGATTTAGGATTTGGTTTGTTTCAAAGTTCATCTCCTCCAGGAAGTCCTCCATGATAAATCCTATCTTAATTATAATGTTATTTTTTAAAAAATTTTTATCCCTAAATACTACTGCATTGAAAAATGAAGTGCTTACTAACGTGTATCTATGTGATTATAATCATTTATATAAACTTTGTAGTAAATTATATGAAATGCACAGCTACAGTATAAACTTCCTTAGAGCCTGTAACCTACGTTTTTTTTCTTATATAGCTCTAAGAAACTATACAAGATTCTAGACACAATAATAATCAGAAACTGCTCATTATTTGTAGATATATAAATATCTTCAAGAAGATCTGATGTATACGAGATTTGACTTACACCGACCACACAGAATACGCTTTCCATAATTTTTCACTCTGTCACATGAACATCAGTAATGGCTACGACACACGGTTGATGACATTTTAAGTAAGAAACACAAAGTAACGAGGTATGAATCCAGCTTCCCGTTCAGGCTCATGCATATTGGGCTCCTGCATACCAGCCCCATTGGAGAGACATGATTCAAACACATCTGTCAGCAAAGTGATAAATTACTACATGCCGTGACCTCTCTTGCTACCTGTCAATAAGTGAAACCTCATGCTAATTCGGGGAGAATTCATGATCTACTACAATTAAGACAGTTCTGATAAACTGTGGATATATGCCTTCAAACCTCATAAATCTCCTTAAGCTTTGCCACCTACTTTTAAGCAACTTCTATGAATACTTATAAGCTTCTCATGTGTTAGTTAATCCTCTCTAAATTCCTACTTATTCTCCAGCTAGCGCTGCTATGCAGAAAATGGGCTGCAGGGAAAAGACATAAAGATAAGGAAAAGATACAGCCAAATGCAAACCACACAGGTAAATATTCCAAAGCCACTCAGATAGGTAGCCATTCGTTTTGTTCCCTCCAGACTCTGCCAAGTCAACTTAGCTTAAAAACAAACAACAAACAAAGAGAAGTCCAGAGGTCATGCAGCTGTGAAATGATTAGAATACCCACACTGATTAGTTGGATTATTTTTATAAATCTTTATCTGTTGGGCTTGCGAAAATGTACAGTGCTAGTCCATAGAATACATACATACCATTTTAACCTTGACAATCTTGTACATTTTCTCTGCTACCATAAATATAAACGATAATTTTCTTCCCTTATGCAGAATAATTTCTGTACTACATAGTAAGTTTAACCTTGCTAAATGTTAGGCATGAGGAAGATTCTGGAATACTGGTTTCCACATTTAATATATGACGGCAGCCTATCCTTTTGGCAAACCAACCCAATGGAAGATGTAATAAACAGACATTAAATGGTACTGTGCTTAGTGTTCCAAGTTCTCCATTAGACTCTCCGCTGTCAAATTACACCAAAACACTGATGTGACTTGTGTGCTCTCTTAAAACAGCTTCTGAAACAAATTTTAATGTGAGCTTCACATAGGAAAAGCATTCACACAAAATCATATCCTAAAATCCAAAGCCTTACAGTGGCCTGGCATTTGTTACCGGGCCTTGCACTATAAGTAGACTGAGCTTTTGAACTTTCTGTGACTATTTAATGAAGTGAAAAAGTCATATAGATCATCACCCCAATGAAAGCAACACCAAAACAAGAAAGAAATCAAAATACCACCTACTCTCATTCTAGAAAAACAAAATCATTAATAACTTGGATTATCCCCCATCTTTAAGAAGAAATGGAGAGTTTCCATTCTAAGATTGAAAATGAGAATTTGACTCCAAAAAACTCATGGATTTTTGTATACCGATAGTAAATTCTAATTATTTAAGCCATGTAAGAAAGGAACAAGGAATAGCACCGGTTACATTATATATATATATATATATATATATATATATATATATATATATAATGAGTATATACTATATATTATTTATTTATTTTTAAGATGACATTCACAGAGAAACTCTGGAGTTGCCTTGTGGTGGTAAAAGCCCCAGGTCAATCCATCAGGTAACAATCCAAACTCTAATAAAACTTCCCTGCCAACTGGACAGCTGACCTTATTTTCCTCACTGACTTTTCATTTCTTCCCTATGAAATGCAGGAAGTAATAGTTTTCTCATAGAAGCATTACAGGGTGGAATGACATAATCTTTATAAAATGTCTCAAAGGCACAAAATAGCAGCTCAGCAAAGGTTATCTGCCCCTCAGCTTTGAATCTAAAAGGATGCTAACCAAGCCTGCTTCCAGGGATACAGGACAAGAGAGAGCCTACCTACGAGCTTGTGATCCAAAGCAGGTTTGTTTACGGCGTAGCCGACAGCCATGCTCTAAGTGTACGACGTCAAGGAAAAGGCTTTTTGTGATCTTACTTCAAAAGGGGCAGAATAAAATTATGCCCCCAAATCAACTCTATTTGCTGGTGTCAAGGCCATTTTCATTGTCGGTGCTACAGTCTTAGAATAACACACTAGCTCTCTGTATCCAATACTAGTTCATTAGGATGTGGTAGGGAACGATATGAACTCCCTATTAACCAACGTAAATCCACAGAGAGATGCTGACCATGGCGCTGGATATGTTAATGTAACCTTCTTTTCTCGACACTTTTTAATGTCCCACCTTCTGGCCCCTGTCACTCCAATATATTAATACCTGGAGGAAGAGGAGTGTCTCCTCTGTGTCATCCGCTGCTGGCCTGTCACTTCCTCCGCCTCCATGCCCCACAGACATTTGGGACCTGAGGCAGTCAGATGCACTGAGCAAATTCCAGTGATCTCAGGGTAAGCCAGGGAGGTGCGGGCACAATGGAGCTTACTAATGTGACATCTTCCCTGAGACCTACGACAGCTCCCTCTTTATTCTCCGAAGGGTCATTCGCGTACATTCAGGGTCTACGGAACGCAGGTCATTAAAGATTCTAGGAAGGGCTGTGTTATTCCACCAGAAAGGTCAGACTTTTACTTCAGCCAACTACCTGCACAAAGAATCCCAGAGACCCTGATATCCAACCTGGTACGTTTTCAAGGCTTCAGTAACTAAGGTAACCGGTGATTAGACCTAACACCTGAGGCAGATTTGTGCCATGTGATAAGGGACCAATTCATTATTTGTCCTGAACATGTCTGCCTTGCCCTGGATGGTTTAATCTCACTTTTTGCTCCAGTCAGCCCGATTCTCTTTGGCTGCTGTACACACAATCTGAGCAGTTAGAAAGTTATGTTAATACTTAAAGCTGCCTTTCTCTGCTTCTGTTATCTGTTCCCTCGTCTGTGTTCTGCCAACGTGGCACCTGTCTCCAAAAATAAATTTTCTTTTGCTTTTCAGCAAGGCTTCAGCCAATGGACTTCAAAATCTCATTAATTACTAGAAGTGAATTTTTTTTATTTTTATTAAAGACAGAAAAGTTTACAGAGAAACTCTGGAGTTGCCTTGTGGGTGGTAAAAGTCCCCCATCAACCCACCATGTAACAATCCAAACTCTAATAAAACCCCTGCAACTGGGCACAGCAAACCCCAGTGGCAATGGCCCAGCTCTTGTGACTGAGGCTAGACCCTAATGAACCATCACCAAGTCCAAAGCCAGTATCTTAGCACTGTTTCTCTTTTGCTTAGTTCAGATACATTGCTGGTTTCTCCTTCTCAGTCAATTCTAAGGGATCTGCCTTATTTTTCATCCTTACATTTAAGTATCCCAGGCCTCACTCCTTAGACATAGATTACCTACATCTGTCTATCATATCTCTCTCTCTCTGTCTCTCTCTCTCTGTCTCTGTCTCTGTCTCTCTCTCTCTCTCTCTCTATATATATATATATAATCTATTATGATTTATCTGCCTATCTATCTATCTATCTGTCTATCTGCCCACCTACCTACCATACCTACCTATCATCTACCTACCTATCTATCCACATTGCTCTCTTGATCATCACATGCCAGGACTGGCCTACTGGCTGTGCTACCTGTACACAGTTCCCCTCACTCAGGAGGATCTTCCACTTGGTTTAATGCTCTAGGGTCACTGGTTGAAGTTCTTAATAATTTTTGAACGAATGGGACTGCATTTTCATATTTCATTGGGCTCCACAAATTGTGTAGGTAGGCTTGCCTCAAAAACCATTTATGTGGTGACAAATTCCAAGTTTTCCTCAGGAAATTCAATTGCCTTCCTGGTAGCTCTCTTTGGATGTCTGGCATCTACCTGGCTAAAACTAACAAGCATCTGAATCCCACCTTCATTCCTAAACCTGCTTTTCTAGGGATCTTTCTTGTCTTGTTAATGCCATCTTTCCAGTTGTTGGGATAATAACCTTGAAATTGCCCTTGACCCCTCTCTTTTACTCTATGAAGAATCCTGTAGATAGATAGGTAGGTAGATGACAGATAGATAGATGATAGATAGATAATAGATAGATAGATAGATAGATAGATAGATAGAT